TCTACTATTCCAAAATACAATCTTCCAAAATAATGTGACTCAAACACACCCTAATTTTTTACTGGCATTTGATCATGCACTTTACTAAGAAACGAAAAACTTCATATGGCTATTTCAATAAAAAAAAAATACTTAATTATATACAATATGGTTGTCCTTATAAATGTGATAATCTTTTCAAAATTGATATAATTAAGATTTTAAAAAAATCTAAATTTAATTCAAAGTATGAGATATATAACTTTCATCTTGAAAATTTTGAGTTTCTCAAAATAATTTGGAAGGTATAAATTTGTTTGTATTATTTTGCTTAAAAGTAAAGTTAATTTTTATAAAATATGCTAAGATTCACTTTTTCATAATGTAAGTTATGTTAGTTAAAAAAATTATATTAGACCAAAAAGAAATTTGAAAGTAATTTTTACTTTTTCTTTAGACATCTGGATTTTTCGAAGTTGATGTTGATTGTAGTTTGATATGTGCAAGCACGCGTGTCATATATAGTTCTTGTTTGGCCCTTATCTTTTAAACTTCATTTTTAGCCGTGCATCACGAGACTTGCAATTTTTATCAATTTTTCAATCACTTTCATCAACTTTTATCAAAATCTACTAAAAACATAATTTTTATTCAAATCAAACACGGAGCATAATATACAAAGAGAGAGGAGAGAGGAATTTATAAGTTGACTTGGAAAGGTTATAGAGATGGAGTTGAGGTTCCGAGGAAGAGTAGGGGACTTAGGAGAATAAGATGGTGTTTGGTGGAGATTGAATTTAGATTTTTAGTAATTTGTGATAGAAATTTTTGAAATGTGATTGAAAAGTTGTGGAACTCGTGAAAGATGTGGTTAATATTGATTGTTTGACTTTGACTTGGATTAAAATCAAATTTATTTATATATTTGGGATTCGCCTATATATATATTTATTTATTTATTTTATTTTATTTTTGGATAGATTCAGTTATTAAATTATTTCTACTCATTTCTTAATTTAATAGATATTGTCAACATTATTGAGTACGACTAGTTAAGTACTATCAAGCTTTCAAAATTATTAAAATTTGAAATAATTGTAGCACTTCTCCTTCAATCAAATACCTTACAACATCATATCACATTTTTGGCCGCTATTTTCATTTTTCATTGAAATTAACCTTTTCCCAGCCATTTCATTTACTATATCTTTTATAGCTGCGACTATGTTTCTTGGCTTCTTGTTGTAAATGGCTCATAGGTGGCAGCTATTGATGACGGTGGTGGTGATAGTGGTGGAGAAGAAGAAGAAGATGATGATGTTTAGGACAATCAGCAATTGTGGATGTCGGGTTGGTTTGTATTTTTTTTCCCTTTTTCTTTCCTTTCTAGTTTTTATTTATTTATTTATTTAAATTATTTTCATTTAACATTTTTGTTCCTTAAAAACATGACACGTGAGACCCACCTTGTCTATATTTGACCCTCATTTTTTTAAATTTATTTTTTTCTTAAAACTTGTTTTGAATCACACATTTTATGAAATTCATAACTTTTATCAAGTTTTCAATTATACATTTAATCAATTTTTATCAAAATCTACAAAAAAAATCTATTAAAGCCGAACATGGGTTAAATGTAACGAAAATTGTGCAGTTACCATTCACTGAAGACTAAGATGCAACTAGAAAAAATAGTTCAGGGATTTAAATGCCAATGAAACAATAAGTTGAGAACTAAGGCCATCTTCAACCCATAGCACCAAATTGGTGCAACTTTTATTATACCATAATGTTGGGTTATATCAACTTTCACATCTTAAACAGTCGTACCTAATTTTGGTGACCAGTTATCAAAGGGTGTTATGCATTACACCAATTCTTCCACGTTTTTGGACCATTTCACCTAAAAATAAGGTCAGACCCGATTATTCTGTAGTAAACTACACATAATAATCATCGTATTCTACTGTAACTAAATTTCTTTATTTTGCTCATTTCCGAATCATTAATTATTTTCCTAACATTCAAAGAGTGCATGCTTTCCAAAACTGCAACACGTGTAAGTTTTATATCTTTGTCACTGCGCCAAAAATGATCATTTGCAACACATAAAAGGTAACATTTGGTAGTTAAATATTGTTAAAGGGGTCCATCGCAACATTCTAATACGTGAATGTTGTCATTGTTTAACAAAATTGAGTTTTGACAACATTTTTTAAGTGAATGTTGCTAAAACTACATTTTTGCAACATTTTTTAAATATTGCGGAAGACAGAGACGTTGCGAAAAGCATCTTTCCCAACGTTTTTTAAAACGTTGTGAAAAGAGTGTTTCAGGTTTTGTTACGGATTATGGCAGACAGTAATTTTATTAATATCTTCTTGTGCGTCTTATTCAGGTTGCTATTAGGAGCAGAAAAAGAGGGTACAACTGAGAGAAGAATTGAACATTTATTGTCTTGACTGAATTTTTTCCAGAAAAAGAGGGTACAACTTCAATTCATGTG